ATATCCTTCGAAAACTATAAAGACAAAAATAAAATAATCACAAATAATGAATGCTCATTCTTATCTTTTTCTGCTCTTGAAAAATAGATTTTCTGTTATGGCCTGGATCGGAGAGAGTGGGAAATTTCTTAAATAGTATTAGAATTAAGAAAAACATTTTGTGAGAAATTGTCAAATGTGCCGATAGATGCCTCATTCATTTCGCAAGTTTTTCGTACTTCGATAGGTATAAAGTTAGAAATTTTGATTGACGGCTTGGGTAGGCTGCTCGGTTCTCACCGCGCAGTCAAACGCAACCCTGACGCAACGTTTAGTTAGAATTTAGTGAAGATGGTGATTTGTAAGCCGTTTCTCTGATCTCTACGAAGCTGTTGGGTTTAATTGTTTTCGTACAGTTTAAAAAACGAAATAATGTATGTCAGGGAGCCTACCCCCAATTTTATAAGTCCAATTAAAAAACAATAATCTTCCCACAGGAAATTGTTTTATCATAGGCCAATCAAAAGAAGATTAACTTTTTTTTTTTCCTAAGATTGTGACTTTTTTATGTAATGGTAATTCGACGACGCTGAATCGAATGGTGCAAATTTTTTTGCAATTACAAAATGTTGCAACTCCAAAAAAAAGGGTCAAAACAGCCGTATCCCTAGCATCTAGGCATATTTAATCGAAAAAAGTTCAAACAAAAGTTGTTGTAAACAATTAAAAAATACATAAGAAATGTTCTGAGATAATATATATGGTATCTTCGTATTTGCAAAAATAAGCGAGAAATATTGGTAAAATTGATTTTAAGAGTGGGGGCAAGCCCCGCCTCTTCGTTGGTCTTTACACGCGAGCGTACTAGTGTGCGTTATTTTTTGGGGTCTCTCGGTTATGAATGCGAGTGCGAGTGAGAAAAGAATGGATATTTCTCTCTTTCTATTTTTTCATTCGGTAGCGAGAATTTTTTTTCTTGGCTATGGAGTCTATATACAAGGAGGGACGATCGCCGTGTTATAAATGTGGGTATAATATTCACAATGAAAGAATGATYTCTATTGCCACTAGARAACGCGTCTAGTCGCTTGTTCTAATTTTTCAAATATGAAAAAACCTACCTTTAACTTAGAATAAAAATAGATAAATAAGTCGACGAAGTAAATAAAAAAATTCTAAACTAAAGAAAATGGAATAATTGGTTAAGATATCACAAAGTCAAGTAAAAATAACAATTGCATGAAAAAAATGTCGATAAATTATCCTATATATCTGTCAAAAAATTGTGAAGTGGAATCAATTTATCTTTAACTCAATTAGTATAAAAATTAATAATACTGCATGTAAAATGTAATTGCTAGTTACCTTAGACAATAAACCACAAAATCAACAATATAAAATAACCTGTTGAGCTGTAAGAAAATTAATCGATTAATAATTTACGGAGTAGATGTTCTATTAGCAATAAATATTCCTTCGTATAAGATTATAAATTTTATTTAACATAAATAATATTGTTTTTTTTCTTATAAGCTTTTGTAAAATAATAAAATTACGGGCTATTAATTAGTTACGTTAACTTCGCTCTTTTTCAATACACCTAGTGTGTCAGCCTAAACAAAAGGTGATATTTGGGAAATTTTTTAAAGAAAACTACTGCATGAAATATTCTAAAATTTAGAGGATATATTTATGCATTATTTACGAATAATTACTAAAATTTTCAAATGAAAAGAGGTAATTTTCAGCGAGGTATTCGCTATCTCCTAAGTCACTAAAAAAAAAGGGCCTAACGGCTGTAATGATTCCGGCCTTCACCGTGGATGAAATAAAAAAATAAAAATACTGTTAATCTAGAAAGTATTGCCTATAAAATGACCTAAAAGTGTGAAAAAATTGAAATTTAACAAAATGGCAGACTTTCAAAAAACAAAATCGAATTTTGCTCAAAATTTTGATGATTTTTGGCCCGCCAAAATTACATTTTTTATACAATCGAAAAACTTTTAGGTCATTGTACAGAGAAACATATACGAAATAAGCAGAAAAAAAATCAAAGCAATCGGATGATTCTTCTTCGAGTTACAATAGCAGCCAATTTTAAAAATGTAGTTTTGAAGAAAACGCGTTCAAAGATAAAATGATTGCTTTTTAATCCCTGAGCGGCTACTCTTTAGAAGGCTGTAACTCTAAAACTATTTGAAATTCTTAATGAGAAGGTATCACAGGGAACTTGGACATAAAAAAGAAGTAGAACTTAATTTAACTAAGTTGGACGTTTCGTCCCTTTATTGGGACTTCTTCAGCAACTTAATCTTTATAGTTCAGCCTCTTTTTTCATTCAGTAGACATACATTTTTATTTTTATTTTTAATATTCAAAACATCTAAACTTCGTTAAGTATTAGCTCGGATAACGATTATATTCTACTTCTTTTTTATGTCCAAGTTCCCTGTGATACTTTCTCATTAAGAATTTTATTTTTGGACGAGAGAAACAACTGATTAACTATTTGGAATATTTATTTAAAATTTCAGTATGTTATTTTTAAAGATATAGACTATCAAAATATGCAAAAAAAAAATCAATTTTTTCAAAATTTCACACTAGGTGTGCCCCTTAAACGTTTACGTTGATTCTGGCTCCTATTGAATAATTTTACAAGAAAATGACCTCGCATAACTATAAAGTAATTAATGATTTTAACCATTAATTCTTCAGTGTGTTCAAGACATCCTAGCTTAGGAAGCGTTTGTCGTTGAGAAATTTTTTCCAGAATTTGATGCATCGTATTGAATTTAACAGTTTTTGTTCCCACTACTGCCAAAACATATTCAAGTTTTTTAATTAGAAGAAATAAGTTTTCACTAGGGTAAATCAAACCACCATCACTCATCATTTCAATCAAATGATCTCGAYCGCTTGGTGCTTTATGAAGCGATTTTAAAGTATCTATACACGTGGTGCACTTTG